CGAGGCTTTAAACTTTCACGACGGCCCGGGAGCCGGAGACTGCTAAATAATATTGAGAAAGCTCCAAATTATATAGGACTGGGAGTCAGGCCGCAGTGGCTCTCCACTAATTTGGACTTCATAGCCCTCTGATTGGGTTGTGCGCGATCAGGTACAAAAAAGGGATGAACCACTTAGAGTAGATAGCCTCGCCAGCCACTGCTATCGTACGTGCTGCACGTGTGTACTTCACTATAAAACAAGCCCAACGCATGACAGCATTTGCTTTGCGCCCCTCCCCACATTTGGTATTTCGCTAAGGGACTGCTCCTAGGAGGAGACGCAAGATGCTGCGTTTCACACACACAGAGATGCGAAGTTAACCGGTTTGGGTTCAAAAAAAAACTCTGCCAAAGCATAAATGCGTGCCCCAGGTTTCTTTGTGCTGCGGTCATGGTAGACGATATTGCTCTTGAGCTAGAAGTCAGTGCAACTTTCTGCAAAAGGAGCATGGCAAAGGTGAAATTGACCGTCGGCTCAACTGAAGCTCATGATCTTTGTCTGATTATGCCTTAACCTCAGAAGTGTGTGTCTATAAAAACAATAAAAGAGCAAACCGCTGGGGCACAGGAGGGCTCTGCGAAAACTATTGTACAGGGGAAATGAACCACTATCCATACGCTTAGGATATACTAGCCATCTGGGGGTTATTGATCGATGGTATTTGCGTTCTACACAGTGGAGTTATCTCCCCTACTGCATCCATGAAAATATCCGATGAACTCAACCCTTCCTACTTATCATCTGAGACGGTATGACTGTGAGCTAAGCTGGTTTGAGATAAGAATTGTTCAGGGCGTCCCCTTGCCCGAACCAGGCTCTGACTGGTGACGATATAAAAGTTGACAATTGAAGACGTGACGTAGTGAAAGATAATCCTGAACAAAACCTTGATAAGCGATTCTTCAGTCACAGATAGTCCTTTTGCTCGAACTCTCTCCCAGATCTCCAATAGTAGGAGTGAACAAGAAAGGATTATTTCAGCCTGTGTTCTTCTGTCAAAACTT